GCGCTGAGCCCCGCAGGCACTTGTGACCCGCCGTTGGTGCCGTCCAGGCGTCCCCAACTAACAAAAAGGCTTTAATGCCTCTCATGGCCAATGTGCTCACCGTCCTGCCCTGGGTCCACCCGCTTCCCGAGCCAGAGCCCCGGAGGTGGGCATCCTGGACACACGTGGCCAAGTCTCGCGAACCCATCCACCTGCCCCATTTCTACTGCCACCCCTGGTCTGAGCCGCTGTCCTCCTCACTACCCCTCCCCCTCCCCCGCCCCGGCCCCATTCCATTCTAGAAACTTCCAGGCCATTCTCCACTCAGCAGCCACGGGGATCTTCGGAAACGTCGACTAATGATGTGTGTGCCTGCCTCGGCCCCTTCCCCCTGCATTTCCCTGTGATGTTGACGGGAAGTCTGGGACAGTGGGGGACAGGGACAGAGACTAGAGCGGGCTTCGAGCTCCAGCGGCCCTCACTTACCAGGTGTAAGTCACTCCCTGTAACGGGTTCACCAGAGAAGCAGAACCAATGGGACGTGTAGAGTTACACAGAGTCATTGTAAGGAATTGGCTCGTGTGATTTTGGAGTCTGGCAAGCCCAGAACCCACAGGGCACGCCAACGGGCAGAAGAGTCAGTAAGAGCCAATGTTCCAGTTCAGGTTCAAAGGCTGTCTGCCGGCACAAGTTCCTTTTGCTCAGAGGGAGTCCGTTTTTGTTCTATTCAGGCCTTCAACTGATTGGATGAGGCCCACCCACACCATGGAGAGCAATGTGCTTCATTTGAAGTCTACTGATGGAAATGCTTTTTTTTTTAATGTTGATTTATTTTTGAGAGAGAGAGACAGAGAGAGCATGAGTGAGGGAGGGGCAGAGAGAGGGAGACAGAGGGTCCCAAGTGGGCTCTGTGTGACGGCAGTGAGCCTGATGCGTCATGAACAGCGAGATCATGACCTGAGCTGAGTCAGACGCTCAACTGAATGAGCCACCCAGGCGCCCCTGTTGACGGACATGTTAACCTCACCTACAGACATCCTCACAGAAACCACCAGGACAGCGTCTGACTAAATATCTGGGTGCTGTGACACACGGATGTTCTTTCCCTTCCCGCGTGAGGCGCTGACCCTGGCCCTCCTGCTGGTTACCTGGAGGCTTTCTCCTGCACCCTTATCGTCCGAGCACTGTCTAAAGTCCGTGTCCCGCGCTGCCTCTCAAACAGCGCACGGGTCTCAGGACCCTCTGACTCAGTCACCCCGCCCGTCGCACGTGCCTTGTCCTCGGGTTCAGTCTTTTCAAACTTCACGTATCGGACATTCTTCCCGCCTCAGATGATGACCCCAGCTTCCATTTCCCTCCCAGAAGCCAGTTTCTTCCCACACGCTTCCTTCTCGAGTCTAGCCCTTCCTTCTGGAATACCTTTTCCTTCTGCAGTGCATTCTCCAAAAGTTCCTTTAATGAAAGGCCGCTAGCGGTAAACCCTCACAACTCCTCCAAAGTGTTGTCAGAAAACATTTACGTGCAAACTTTTCATTATCTGAAAAATTTCTCTTGTGCTTATTTTTGGAAAACTGCCAAGGTCCCGCCCCAACAGGTCCGGGGGTTCCCGAAGGATGAACGGCGTCAGCGAAAACAACAAATGGACACGGACAACGGCAGTGGGTTCGACTGGCCGCTTTATTGTGGCAAGCGTGGCCTTACATTTGTTAGCAATTTTCTTGTGGCGTGTGTTATCTATGTTTCTTGGCATTACCTAATTCTAAAAATGTTCTTTTGTGTAATCACCCATTAAGGAACAACATAGTTATTTTCTTGTAAGTTCCCTCCTGCTCTTTCAAGGTCATCCAGCTCTCAACACCTCAAGTGGAACGTTTACAGGGACGTGACTTCTTTAAAAAAAATTTTTTTTTTTCAACGTTTATTTATTTTTGGGACAGAGAGAGACAGAGCATGAACGGGGGAGGGGCAGAGAGAGAGGGAGACACAGAATCAGAAACAGGCTCCAGGCTCTGAGCCATCAGCCCAGAGCCCGACGTGGGGCTCGAACTCACGCACCGCGAGATCGTGACCTGGCTGAAGTTGGACGCTTAACCGACTGCGCCACCCAGGCGCCCCTGGGACGTGACTTCTTAATGGTTCCTTTGAACCATTTGCGGCACAAGGAACAAAAGGTTCCTTTGGTCTGGGTGCCGGGAGGGAGCCAGGAGGGCCCTGGAAACCCACGCCTTATGCGCTCCCAGAGAGACAACGTTTACCTGGGAACTAATGAACCATTCTGTACCTTAACCCCCCAGGTCCGGTTATCATCTGGAATGCCTCCTGGGGGCCAAGCGGGCCTAGGGGTTGGAGCAACCTGTATCCATAGGTACATTCCTTTGTTGCCGGAGTGGGGATTTCAAACCCATTCGTCCCCCTCCTCGGCTGGGAAATATATGGGCCCATCCTTCCTTTGGGTAGAGGAGTCTTTCTAGGGGGTGGCAAGGGCTGGATGCAGGGCCGCATGATTTCCCTGCGGAATCTTATGTCTTTCCCCAGTGGTTCTTCTCCCGGGGGGCCTGTCGTGGGCAATCCCAACAGACAAATCCCCAGGCACTTTCATTGGTAGGGGGGCTGCCCCGACCAACGCTAAGGCCAAATTACATAAAAGCAGGAGGACAAGAAGCTTCCCTTCTGGAGGGCCACCATGCAGCCCCGATCCGTCCACCGCCCGGGGCCCTGCCATCAGGTTCCTTGGATAGCTTGGCCTCCGGCAGAAAACGGTGTAGAAAATTCTTAGCTGGCAGTTACTTTCCTCTGAGCACTTTGAAGACACTTACTCCACAGTCTGGGCATCCATTTCTGCTGTCAGTTTACCTGCTGTTTCTTTAGTGCTGATATCGCTCTTTCCTTTAGGCTATTTTATTAAAATTTTTTTTAATGTTTATTTATTTTTGAAAGACAGAGAGTGCGAGCGGGGGAGGGGCAGAGAGAGAGGGAGACACAGAATCCGAAGCAGGCTCCGGGCTCCGAGCTGTCAGCGCGGAGCCCGACGTGGGGCTCGAACTCAGCAACTGTGAGATCACGACCTGAGCTGAAGTCAGACGCTTAACCAACTGAGCCACCCAGGTGCCCCATCTTTTGGCTATTTTAAAGATCTCTTGCCGTTGGTGGTCTGTGATTTCACTCTGCTGTACCTAGGTGTGAATTTTCTTTTTGTTTATTCCATTTAGTATACATTGCGCTTCTCTGTAAATGCTTACCTGTCGCCAGTTCTGAGGCATAATCTCTTTGAATACTGGCTGTCTTTCCTTTGGGACTTTGACCATCCCTCTCTCGGCGCTCAGCACGGTGCATGCTGTGTGTTTCAACCTCTCTTTTCTATTTTCTGTCCCCTTATCCCTTACACCGCAGTCTCGATAATTTCTATAGATTTAAATTCCAGTTTGCAAATTCCTTCTTCAGTGGTATCTAATGTGCTGCCTAATGCATTTGCTGTTTTTTTTTTTTTTACAACAGCTTTGTTGAAATATGACTCACATACTATAAAGTTCAGCCTTTTGAGGTTTTTAATCCAGTGGTTTTTAGTCCATTCACAGTGTTGTGCAAGGATAGTCTCTATTTTTAGAATATTTTCATCACTTGAAAGAACGCCTTGACCACTAGCAAGAAGTCCTCATTCCTTCTTCCTCCCAGCTGGAGGCGACCATGGATTGACTTTCTCTTTTTTGGATTTCGCTACTTCGGACATCTCATGTAAATGAAGCCATATCATATATGTTTTTAAACGACTTTATTTTCATTTAGCCTAAATCTTTCAAAGTTTCTGATGACCTGCTAATTTCAGTGAGAGCTTTTCATTTCTAGAGGTTCCCCTCTCCAACAAAGCACAGTTCTGGCACTGCCTTGTTCTTTCCTACAATCTAACTTCAACCTACCACACAAATGAATCTTGTATTCTGTATCGCACACTTTCAGTTTAGAAGGTTTGTGGAGATTTACATCCGTATCTCTTCATCGTTTCTTCTGTGTCTTTGGAGGCCCATTTTCTTTGGATGTTTGCTGATTTTTTGACTTTGAACTCACATATATTTAATGTTTATTTTTATTTTTGAGAGAGAGAGAGTGCAAGTGGGAGAGGAGCAGAGAGGGGGGTGACAGAACCCAAAGCAGGCTCCAGGCTCCCAGCTGTCAGCACAGAGCCCGACGCAGGGCCCGAACTCACGAACCATGAGATCATGACCTGAGCTGGAGTCGGATGCTTAACGGACTGAGCCACCCAGGTGCCCCTGAACTCATATTTGAATTGAAGGTGTGGGAGCCCCAGTCCCCAAGTTGGAGTCGCCTGTCTATCTCCTTCCCCTTCACTCCTCCAGCCCGGGCGGGGTTAAGGTGTACAGCTTCTAGGGTTCCAACACTCGCTCTGTCACCTGTCACTGTGTGACCTTGGGCGGGGAGCTCAACTTGTCTGTTCCTACGTTTGCTCATTGTAAGGCGGGGACGCCAACAGCACTTGCAGGGAGGGTGCGAAGCTGTCACGACATAACACACGGGTTTACACAGAGCACATACTATGTGCTGGGTCCATGTGATCAGCGGCACAGCTCACAAGGGGATATTAGTGATAATCGTTTGTCTGAGGTAAGATCGGGCGGGGGTGGGGGGTGGGGAGGGCGGAGCTCTTCTCACAGTGCTCAGCGCTAGGCCAACCGTGGGAACTCCACAAATATTTGCCCGGCCAAACGAAGGCAGACTAAAAGAAACAACCCCCAACACGTGCACAGGAGCTGGGGCTCACTCGGCGCTCAGCAGCGACGGATTCCAGGCACAGGGGGCAGCGGGTGCGAAGACACAGCACTCAAAAGCTTTGTGGGGCGGGAAGGCGAGAGACAAAGCTGAGAAACGGGCCAAGCAGGCGGCGGAGGGCATTGAATGCCGAGACCAGCATTTGGGACTGGCGCCTCGGACGTGGATGTGGCGGCGGGTGGGGTGGTCACGGCTGCTCCGGGTCCGGGCGGGGCGGGGGTGCGCACCCGCAAACCATCGAGGCGGGGACGGCTGGCCTGGGGAAGGCCCCTTCGCTGGGAGTCTGCGAACGAGGGCCTGAGCGAATCACCTCCGCTGTTACCCGCCTCCGTCCCTGCGTCTTTGTGCGTTTCGCTCGCTTCCTTTCGCAGTAAACGTTCTTCCGAGAAATTTCGAGGGGATCTCCGCCAAGCGGAGGGGGAAGGGCTCTCGCCCGCGCCGGGGGAGGGGCGCGCGGGACAGCCGCGGAGGGAGCCGGCACCGGAGGGGGCGGACGCGCGGGCCGGGCGCTGGCTGTCGAGGGGCGCGGACGGCCCGGGACGGAGACCCGCCGGGGCCCGAGCCCCGGGCGCCCAGCCAGCCCTTCTCC